GCACTAATGCTATTCATGAGGGCTCCACCCTCATGACCTAGTTGCCTTCCAAATCCCTCATCACTCTGAAGATCAGAGTCAACATACAAATTGGGGGGTGGGATGCACAAACATTTAGTCTATAACATTCCACACCTGGCCTTTTAAAATGTATGTCCTTCTCTCATACAGAATACATTCATTCCATCCCAATAGTATTGTTCCAGCATCAGCTCAAAAGTCTAAAGTCCAAAATCTCATCTAAATATCATGGAAATATAATATGGGTGAAACTTAAGGTGTGATTCATCCCGAGGCAAATTCCTCTCCAGCTGTGAGCTTTTGAATATTTCAAAGTATAATGGTGAGGCAGATATAAGATATACACTCTCATTGCAAAGGGAGAAATAGCAAAGAAGAAAGGAGTAACGGGTCCCAAGTAAGTCCCAAACCAAACATTAAACTTTAAGAGCAAACAACATTACATTGTAAGGTCAAGTATGATCGTCATTGACTGGATGCTCTGCCTTCTGAACCCCCTGGGCTGTGGTCTAAGCTTTCTCTACAGCTCTCCATTTCTCTTTCTGGGTCTCACCAGAATCTCTCTTAGCAGTCCACTTATAGCAATAACTTTTGTTTTTAGTACACACCTCAAAACTTGTCCAACTTTTACCTGTTACCCAGTTCCAAAGCCTCTTTCAAATTTTTTGGTATTTGTTACAACAGCATCCCACTCCCGGTTCCAATTTCTATCTTAGTCTGTGAGGGCAGCTATAACAGAATGCCACAGACTGGGTGTTTATAGGTAGGTGCCAGCAGATTCAGGGTCCGGTTTGGGCCCTTTCTGGTTCACTGGGTTCTCACCTGGCACAAGGGTTGAAGGCGCTTTCAGGGGCTTCATTTGTAAGCACACTAATTACTCTCCTGAGGGCTTCACCCTAATGACCTAATTGCCTCCCTCCCAAAGGCCCCATGTCCTAAAACCATCAGGTTGGGGATTAGTAACAACATAAGAATTTGGGGGGGACACAAATATTTAGTCCATAGGACCGTGTAAGGCATATCACACGTCTGGGGATGAGGATAGGACATGGATATACTTTTCGGCAGCCACTATTCAGCCCATTAAAATTGCTTTTACACAATTCTAAAAGTATAGTATTAGGGGAATTTTTTGGTATGGGATGTTAATGTCCAATTTTTCATAAAAATTTATGTGCTGGTTCATATTATTTTTTCTAATTTGTCCATTATAAAAACATCTTTAGTTAGTTTGACCCTTATCACAATTAACATTTTCAGAGTCTTTTAAACTACTGCAATAATTTACATATAAAAATAAATTTTGTGTTATTACTGATATTTTAGGGGCTATGCACTATTGATACCTCTCTTGTCTAGTTATCAAAGTATATCAGTCAATAGGATTTAAAAGTGGGTCCACTTTAAAAAATAATAATAACCTCCCGGGATTAGATCTCAATTTTAATTCAGTTACATGTCGGAAAAGAAAATACTTGTTTCATTCTAATTCTTGTTATAAAATTGGGTGAGTTGTCACCTACATTTAGACATTGTACATTAATTTAACATTACTATATCCTTTTATATGAGAAAGAGGGAATAGAAAGCAAAAAGACTAGTTTGTTATTCTTTTTTTTTATCTTTACCAGAGGATATTTTTCCATTCTTTGTTCAGATAGAGCGGGAGGGAGAGAGAGGAAGAGAGAGAGAGAGAAACATCCACGTGAAAGGGACACACCGAGTGGTCGCCACCCACACAACCCAACTAGGGCCGGGGACAAACTGCAAACGAGGTACATGCCCTTAGTAAGAACCGAATCCGGGTCTCTCCGGACCACAGGCCGATGCTCTAACTGCTGAGCCAAACCGGCCAGGGCTAGTTTGTTATTCTTTAAAGAACATATTAATTCCTTTAGGTGAAAACTTAGACCTCTTTATAGGTAGAATGTAAAGAGCGACTCATGCTTTATCTGTAGGCTATCTAGAAGAATTTATAGTGAAGCCAAAGACTCCTATCAACTATTGATTTAATTTGGGACTAGTTTGCTGAGTGCATTATTTCTGGACTATATTTTGAAACATAAACTTCTGAATGGCATAGAGTATTGATAAGGGTTCATAAAATTGATGCATCCTGATTTAGATTTGGGAAGTTAAATAAATAATTACTCATAAAACATGTAAAGAGATATTCTGTATAACTGAATGAGAAAGGCTCTTGAATATATCATTATAGTCTAACTTTTGACCATCTCTAACAGTTGTGTTTTTTTCTTAATTCTCATCTGAGGACATGTTCTTACTGATTTCAGAGAGAGAGAGGAAGGAAGAGGGAGAGAGAGAAACATCAATTGGACCAGGGATTGCACCCACAACCTGTGTATGTATCCTGACTAGGAATCGAGCCCACAACTTTTCAGTGTATGGGATGATGCTCCAACCAACTGAGCCACACCAGACAGCGCTAGTTTCATTACTTCTTTATCTATCATCTCTTCCAGAAAGTAAACAACCCACATTGATTTCAAAAGATAAGGCAAAGTTCTTGAGCTTCAGCATATCCCATCACGTAAGTTTTTGGAAAACAGTTCATTGGGGTTCAGCACCTCAAGATGTGCCTCTGTGATATGCAAATTACTTTGAGCTAAAGGCCACCTTAGTCACAGGCTCAGAGAAATACCTGCTCCTCCCTTAACTACATAGAAGAACTTGAATCAGGGGACTTGCCCATAATAATAGATTATTAGAGATAACTTTCTTTTTTTTTTTTTTTTTTTTACCTATCTATCGGGCAGGGCACTCTTCTATTTACGAAACTTGTATTCTTACTATTGTGCAACTACCCTTTGAAGCCCCTAAGGTGCATTACCTCATCCCTAGCTTAGAATGTCTTATACACCTCAATCCCCCTTCCTATCTCTGAACCTCTCCTGCATGTGGGATCTCTGGCTCTCTCGTGGAAGTGGGCTTCCCATACATATACATGTATTACATTTGGTTATTTTCTGTTGCTAATCTGTCTCATGTCTATTTGATTATTAGGCCAGCCAGAAGAACCATGAGGTAGAGGAAAGTGTATTCCTCCCTCACAACTTGAAATAGCCAAATATTTTCAGTAGCCATCAAGTCACCCTTTTTATAACAACAATGATATATGGTAGTCTGTATACTCAAAAACATTATAAAAAGGCAGATATGAATAAGCTGGAACAAGGATGAATTTCTAAAGTCTTTGAAGGATAGTTGCGATTTAGAATTCCAAAGAAAAAAATGTTTGAATTCACGGACAAGACAGGTGAGGTCATGTGCAAGAATCGAGTTAGGAAGTTCACCGTGGAGGTGAAACTGAAGGAGTATATTTGTAAGCAGAAAGAGCCGTCTCCAAGTTGCTGTGTCAAAGTGGAATCAGTTACAATGGGTATGACAAAATGATACTAGTCATGCCATCAATATAATCACTTACTGGACAGTACACTTTGGGAAAATTACTTTGCACCTCTGATTATTTATGCCCCCTCTGTAAATGTGATTTTAAAAATACCACTTTCTCTTATTTCAAGGGATTATGATAATTAATTGAATCTTTAGAAAAATATTAAACACTCTAAAGCATTTTTTTCAATGTACCCTGTTATAAATAAAGCCCATCATAAAAAATTAAATATATGTGAATTGAAAATAAACCAAATTGGCTGATACCACTGCTAAGCTCCTATCCACAGTAGATAACACTGCTTTTTTAGGGGAGAATAAGCTTTGTGCCTACTTGGAAGGCAAGAGGCTTTCCAAAACAGGTGTTTCCCAAATAAAAGGACAGCCTTCCCACTTGCTTTAAGGATTGTTGGCCTTGTACTGTTTTTTTAGTCAGACACACATTCTAAAATACTACCTTCTATATTAAATATCAAAGGCCAATATGTGTACTGTATAACTATATGTGCACAAATGTATATTAAAATATACTTTATTAATTGACGTACAGAAAGGGATGTGATAGTTTATTATTGCCCCTATCTGCCAAGCAGAGATTGTTATCAGTCTTTATTCTAGCCCCTTGCCTCAGTTTCTCATTGACTTGGCTACTAGGACACAGACTTTCTTTGTCCTCTCACACAAGCCTCATCTGACCTGGTGGCTGCATTACTCTCATTCACCACTTCAGGACATGTGGCCCTGGATGCAAGGCAGGCAACTGGTTATTTCATGGAAAGAGCTAACTTTTCCCTAGCTTTAATCTAAGCAAAGGAACACTGGGTCCAAACACTTAAGTACTAGCTGCTATATAGTCATCACAGATGTAAGATGAAATAAAGGTATTTGATGTATTAGGGGGATTTAGCAGGTGCATCTGTCACCCAGACTTGATTAGGAAGCATGAATTCTAAATCAGAAGATTCCAAAAATATTTTTTTCTCATGTCCCAGTCTGTCTTGCTGTAAGAAACAATGATGTTTATTATTGATAGTATTTCTAATAATTTTATTTTAAACTTTCTACTTGTTTCCATTGCCAATGAATGGTTTATTTAACTGAATTATACTCAATGAATGCCAATACATTTCATTCTCATTTTTTGTGGATATGTAATCTATTGTTGTTTATTGTTCAAAAAACTAATTCTTCATTTTATATTTCTTATTTTTTCTCATGCACATATTTAATTATTGTGTTCATACCTTAGGAGTCTTATCAATGGATTGACAAAGAAATACCAACATAGATATATGTGTGTATGTATTTATATATGTATATATACATGTGGGACAAAATAGGTTTACAGTTGTTCATATGAAAAATACAATAATTAATGATACAAGAATAAACTCAGTGTTTTGCATGCTCACAACTGTAAACATGCTGTTGCCTAACCCTGTATATTCAGCTTTTCTCATTATTTAACTTTGGTCACAATGTACTGGGGTGAGCGATAGCTAGTGGCTCCAATGAGGCTTGTGGAACTCGATCATACATGTGACCCTTGTTTTCTATTTCTTTAGATAATCTGGAGTCTGCTCTACCTCTCTTCCTCTGTATTGCCTTCAAACATCACACTTCAAGGAATAGTGACTGGGCTTACCAATTCCACACATAAACCAAAGAAGTCTGTTCAAGTGGGAATCTGTCGACAGGTAAAGTTACGCTTTTAACTCTTTTTCTTGATTATGCCCACAAATAAAAGTCATAAGTTGTATAAAATGTTATAGAATTGTGCACAGGAAAATAACATGAGGCCAATGAGTGTACATGATTCAGACCTTACTATTAGTCAACTCAAGAGTAGTTAATAATTAACAGGTGACAATCATGAAAGACTTTTTCAAGGGTTAATTGGTTTGGGGTTCACTGATTTAGTTAAGAAATCATCAGATTTCAATTTATATCAAAGAAATAAAACACATAGGAGATAAAGAAGTGTTAAGAGGTACATGAGCAGTGACTTGCAATTTGGAGTATGAAGTTATAATTAAAAATCAGGAAATATGATGGAAATAAAGAACAAAAGATTATATACTAAGATAAACTGGTGAATTATGCAACAAGAAAAAAATAGCTCAATCATATAATGCCTTTTTTAAAGGCCCCTTGGCTTCTTCTATGAGAATAGATTTATTTCTGTCTGTAAAATGGAAATCTCAATGTCAGTGTAGCTCATTAGTAAATTTTAATATGAATATTTATAACAATTGAATATTAGCAAATTTCAATATTCACATTGATATAATTATTTTTAAATGTAAAATTAAAATTATTTAGAAATGTTATTATGACTTTTGAAATGACTGAAAAATAAATCATCCAGTTGTCTTTTTAAGTGCTGACTATAGCAGATGCACTAAAAGCTACAACAGTTTAAACTCATGAATTAATAATGAACTATTTTTTTCCCCTTTATATAAGCAGGAAAATTGCAGAATAAGGACTTTAAATCTCATAATTGTTTTTATACTCTGGTAATAAAACAAAAAGTAAGTGCCCACATAAATGCCCTTTGGTATTTCCCCAGTATTCTCCTAGGTTTTAAAAAAGATATTTTCAAGCAATAAGAAAGTGGACTACTTTAAAATATACTAACAAACTTTACTAATATATAAAATCAGATATTTTTCAGACAAAATTTAAAGACCAATTGCTGTTTTTAGCTCATTTAACCAATTTGTACAGTGTCTCTTTTTTTCTTTCTTTCTTAGGTATTATACTTTTTAAAAGATATTATTTCTGGTATTCATGTGCTACAAACCCATTATGTTGAGTTCTTAACTGATGGCCAAAGAGAAACCTAAATTCAAATTAAATATATAGATAATTTTTATTATTTCCAAGAAAGCAAAAATTATTACAAAAGCAGACTATAAATATACTAAAGACATACAAATCTTCTCATGTCATCAGCATGTATCAATTAATAAATCAGGACAAATAAATGTTTATTAGGTACTGGAAGTCCTAGTCAGAGCAAGTATGCAAGAAAAAATTATCAAAAGTATCCAAATTGGAGTGGAAGAAATAAAATTGTCTATGTAGATGACATGACCTTATACAATAGAAACCCAAAAGATTTTACCAAAAAACACAAACCTATTGGAACTAATCAACAAATTCAGTAAAGTTGCAGAATACAAAGAAACACTGATGTTAGGGAACAAAGATGTTTTTAATTTAATATCAATTGTATGAAAATATGTGTGATCATGGCTTCTACAGGAGAGTGGTTGTCCTATACCATAAAGCAAGCAGTGTGTTCCTAGGCACATCCAAAAAGATAATACCTTTCTTTTAATAAACAATAATGTGTTATCTGTTTGACTGAGAGCATTTCATTGTGTTAAAAAAATACATAAAATGTACCTTTCAAAAAATGATAGAAGGTAGACCAGCTCTGGAAGTGCATTAAAATTAACTTGGTTCATTAGAACCATACAATTTCTAATCTTACAGTTTTAGAAAACAGATATGTGCTGAAATGTTTTTATGTACTCTCAGTTATTATTATTTTTTTTAAATAAATGGTCCCTTTTAACCTTTGTATAAAAACTCTATTTTGGATTTTTGAAAAATATGTGGTTTTAAGTGATGGTAGCTTCATTTTCTTTATACTTAGAAATGAGATTGAGATAGCTTTTATTTTTTGGCTGGTACTTTAGTACAGATCTGAAATCTTAACTTCTCTCTGAGAAATTATTGCTTTCATAAACAAATTAAATGCTTTCAAGCCCTAGCACATAACAAAGTTACATACCTCACTCCATTTTTTAAGTAAAATTTCTGATAACTTTCTGAGTACAAGAATATTAAAAAATATTCATGAAAAACTATATAGTTGTAGTTATAACTGGAAAATACTACTTTTGTGACTATCAAGATTGATATATAAAAATAAAAGCATTGTTTAAACCTTTATTTCATTGTTTGAATATAGGTTCCCTGAATTTCAAATAGAAGAACAGAAATGCCTCCACCGGCAGGTGGCCCACCACTACATCCACCTCCTGATGGGGGATGGGGATGGGTCGTGGTTGGAGCATCTTTTATCTCCATTGGATTTTCATATGCATTCCCCAAAGCCATCACAGTATTCTTCAAAGAAATTCAGCAAATATTCAACAGCAGCTACAGTGAAATAGCATGGATATCATCCATTATGTTGGCTGTTATGTATGCAGGAGGTAAGGTTCTTTGTGATAAATAGAGTTCTGCATGAAGAAAACAATTCCTCCATGCCACAGTGTTTTACATGTAGGGTCTTGGTATATTAAAGCCCTGTTGTCATATTATTATGGACTTAAAATCAACGAAAAGGATAATTAGAACTGAATTTTAAAATACTTTTAATGATTCAATATCTTAAACTATTCACATCATTCTGAGTCTCACTCGAGATTTGAGTGAGGATTTCTTTGCACAAATTAAGGAACTTCTAAGGGCGGCATCTTTCCATTCAATTTGGGATAAAGTCTATAGTACAGTGTTAGTATCATTTTTGACTATTGCTACAATTAGTAGAAATCCTTTATTTGGAATAAAGTCTATAGTACAGTGTTAGTATCATTTTTTACTATTGCTACAATTAGTAGAAATGCTTTCTTCTGAATGAGAAAAAAACTCAAGTTGTTGACAACTGATAAGCTTAGGAAGTACTTCACCAAAACCTGTAAAATTAGAGTGTTATCATATACCTTTTGGATTTATTGAGGTTTGTGTGACTGAAATAATTTTTATCTCTGTAGTACTCATTAAATATGACATTTTAAAATTTAAATAGTTGCCTGACAATTATCTTATATTTCATGTTCAAATGAGGGTATGATTCATGAGGAATAATGAATAAATCAGAGTACCATATCATTTCTGAATGTTAAAACTTATATATGTATATAAATAAATTAGTGCATTTTTATGTCATCTTTCTTCTTTAAATCAATTTCAATCGCAGACCAAACTGTCTTATAGATTATTTTTAAAGTCACTACTTAAAATATTTAGATTTGAGTTTTTATTTTTCAACTGTGTATGTGACTTTAAGAGACAAGTTACAAACCCAGACTATAGTGCTTAAAGTGCTCACACAAATCATCTAGTGCAATTTGTTATTTTCCAAGTGAGGATAATATGGCTCATAGTAATGGAGCTATATCATTAGTAAAAATATCCAATATTAGTATTAACTTTCAGCTAAGGTCTCTCTAAATGCTTGCTGTGTGTTATATTACCTAAAATCTTCTTAATAATCTATAAAATAAGTATTTGTTTCTGTTCATTCTATAACTGAGGACATAGAGAAAAAAAAGTTTTTCCAAGTCTAAAAGATCATTAGTACAGATAGAAATGGAGATTCCACACTTTTATCACTATGCTCTTCTGTTCGTCTTTCTCACATCTCCCACTTTACCTGCAGAAAATGACAGAGCCAGATCTGGGCTCGGCTTTCTACAGACCTAATTTAATTCAGGTTTCACCCACCAAGGTCATTTCTTTAGTGACATAATGATTATAATAATTATTCTTTAGAATATCATGTATTGTGCACCAAGGTTAAAATTTGATCCTCCAGTAATCCTGTGTGTGTGTGTGTGTGTGTGTGTGTGTGTTTTCCACTTTCTGTATATCAGCAATTTTACGTTAATTCAGTATATGTCTCCCTTACCCTTTTGGTTCGGTTAAGTTGATGCATTTTGTTCCACTAACAAAAAGTATCTTTAAAATGCTATTTGGGTATGTCAATGAAAAATTCTGCTTCTAAAACACTGTCTGAGATTCTCCTTTGGACAGTTGCTTTAAGGCTTGTGACTGTAATTTTCAATGACCTTAGAAAGAGCAGAGCTTGTGCTTCGGGTTTTCTTCCTCTGTCTCACGAGTCAGGTGATGATAATGATTTGCTAGAACAACACACAGTCATCTTGTCCTGAGCTCCCAAATGTGCTATGTTAAGATATGTAGTTTCCCCCCTTCATAAACATGACTGAAACAGGTTCCATTCGTGAATTACTATGTCTATTGAATTTGGAATTCAGGTCCCATATATCATAACTTTCTGTTGTGTGGATAGTTGACAAACTCATAAGCCAGAAAAAAATTGTATAATTTTTTAATTAAGTCAAGTCTTAATGGACTTTGTTAGTTTTAAGCAAACAACCTCAAGGTCCCAGTGCCTTAAGGCAATACAGGTTTACTTTGCTCCAGTAATGCATGCTCAAGCAGTGTTTCATCCAGTGGTGATGCCATCACTTAAGGCTTTGTAGTGTTCCCAGGCCTGCTGCACCCATCTGGTCAGAGAGAGAATGCACACAGCATGGGAGATCAATGAGATGTTTTAAGGGCTAGATCTGGAAGAAAAGAATATAATTTCTGGCCCTGGCCGGTTTGGCTCAGCGGTTGGAGCGTCGGCCTGCTGTACAGAGAGACCCGGGTTCGGTTCCGCTGGGGGTATGTACCTCGGCTGCAGTTTGTCCCCGGCCCTGGTTGGTCATGCAGGTGGCAGCCACTCGATGTGTCCCTTCTCATCGATGTTTCTCTCTCTCTCTCTCTCTCCCTCCCACTCTATCTGAACAAAAAATGGAAAAATGTCCTCGAATGAGGATTAAAAAAAAAAAAAAAGAATACTATTTCTGCACACATTCCATGGACTAGAACTCTTACACCACCCTACCTAGAGCCAGGGACTGGGGTTGCTGGAAAATGCAGGTTTCCAAAAGGAAAAAACAAAATAAGATAGCATCCAGTGAGTCTCAGACAGAGCGTGGTATCTTCCAGTCCGTGAAAGCAGGGTGTGTTTGCAGACTTGCCATGCTCATGGGCAGCCTTCTGCTCCCTGGCTGGACCTAAAGGTAGCAAAGATGTCTCAGTGTCAGTACATAAGTAAATACCTATTACATATTTATCATTAAATAAATCTTTTAGTTTTATTCATGTTCTTTTCTATTTTTAATACACTCAGTAAGTATAAAGATTAGAAAGCACAGAGGAGAACTCTTTTGAAGTTCCTCAAGAAAATGATAGTTTGGTTAAACAGTTATCAATTTAGAAAAAAAAAAAAAACTATCTAAAATGTTTAGGGTAATAGATGAATAAAACATGTCATTAAAGATCAGCAGGCAGCCTGGCTGGTGTGGCTCAGTGACTGCGCGATGTCCCATGGACTGAGAGGTCCTGGTTTGATTCCCGGTCAGGGCACATGCCCAGGTTTCAGGCTCGATCCCCACTGAGGGCTGTCCAGGAGACAGCCGATTGATGTATCTTTCACACTTCAATGTTTCTATCTCACTCTAAACAAAGGAAAAAAGCATCAGCAGGCATTTTTGCATCTGGTTGTTTCAAGAAAACAATGCCAGACACATGAAAATACTTAGTACATATTAATTGATGATAATATTCAGGTAAATAGTTGGAATATTGCTTAGAGTCCTTTGTCATGAGGACTGAGACATTTTGTATGTTATCTCTGGCCATGGAGAAATGTCAGGAATTTCAGAAATTTTGCTACCTCTTGTTTTTTCTCCTTAAAAGTGGAAATGAAAGTCCAGGCCCACTGTCTACTGAATAGAAATGTTACTACTGTCATGTCCAATTGAATGGAGACCTCATACACATACATAGTTTATTGGAAGTAACATCTATGTCTTCACTTAATAATTAGTTCTTAATCTTTTAACAAGAAATAATTGTCACTTATAAAACTGTAATCTCAAATTGAAAACAATTCCTCCTCTCTGGATGCATAATTTTTTCAGAAACAACTATTAAGAACAAAATGTCCAATACATTCAATTAATCTAAGACACAGATACTAGTCCTGTTACTAAAGTGTGTTTTTTCAAGTGTGTTTTACAGAGTTTCTGCTTCTGAATCACGGGTTGCTTGTTAAAAATGCATAGTCCTGGGTCTTTTCTCAAACCCCTTTTATTCAGAATTTCTGTTGGTAGAGTCCAGAAACTTGCATTTCAGCAAGCATCTTTGAAAACCACTTCACTTCCTATACAAGTTTTATGGAAGAAAATAAATATTTGTTTTCAAGATATTTAAATTTTCCTTTAACATTTGAATGATCTCTATTTATAGAGGCCTTTTAGGTTGATTATTATACGGTGAAAAGGCTTAGAGTTTACTCTAAAGTATGAATCTCTCTACCAAGTGTCTGAAATACCCTGTTCAACATAATGCTAATTGCATTAGCTTAGAGAACATCTAAGATCTGATACACTCATTAGGGCTTAGCACTCAACCTATTAATCACCACAGTGGGGTCACCGGGTAAGATGGAGTGTGGTCAGAGGCCTGGCCTATGATGTCAGGGCTGGAGTCTCTTGTAGTAATTAGTTGGCATCTGGGCTATGGTAGCAAGGTATTATATTCCCTTCTGATGTCTGAATTAAAAATGAAACTAATAATAGGTATGCGGGAAGGATGGGAAAGAATGCAAATTATGTTTATTCCTTACTTCATCCTTAGAATAATGCCATTAAATTACACAACCCATCTGCTTGTCCATATGGTCTCCTGAAGTTCTAACGAATTTCAGCAATAGGTCAAGCAGAGTGGTCACCCCATTAATAAAGCACTAAGTAGAGGTAGAAAACATATTAAAATGTAAACTTTCCACATTGTTTTAAATGGACATGAGGTTTTGTTTTATAAACAGTGATTACATAGGATTATCATTTAGGGGTGTTGGCTCTGTCTCCTTGGTAATGTTTCTGCTTTATATGGGTGGTGACCGGACTGTGCTAGAGCAAGGGTGAAGGTTTTCCAAGGGACTGCTCCACACGGGAGACCAGGTGCTGGACCACTGAGCTTATGTTACTGGAGGCCAAGAAGCAAAAAATTTTAGGCATAGGAGATTGGTGACTATAATATACAATGTGCATCTTTCTATCCTTTTTTAAGTCTAAATAAACACATTGCATTATTTTGCTTTGTGCGCTAAACATTTTGAAGGATAAAGGAGACCATTTAAAAAGTCATGAGGACTGTATCTTAGCAGCAGTAATAAAATACAGTTTATTCCATGTCTGTTCGAGATACCTAGGGCTTTCATCTTAACTTCACAAAACCCAGAGCATACCAGGGCCACTTGGACGATCCTGTACAAGCAGGCTGGATACTTCTTACACCTGCGATGTGGTAGATTTTTTCCATCGAGGAACATAAATATTTCGGAAGTTTTCCTAGG